ATCAATCACGTAATAGTGGATGGCCCTTTAAATGTCCCTTCCAGACGACGTGAACAGGCGGTTCGCATCAAGAAATTCTTGCGAGCAAAGCTGGATGAGCTGAATCAGATGCGGAAGACGAACCCGGCCACTGTGCCTGTACTTGCAGGGTTGCCAGAAACGGGGGCCGTTCTTATTTTGCAGTCATCTCATCTACTAAGCTAGAAACACTCAACTAGAGTTGGTAAGGTACGTCAGATAAATCCAGCACGGCCGTCATTATTAGTCATTATGAATGAATACTGAATAAATAAATCAATTCGTATCTTGGTACTCCCTTTGGTGCATAATTAGTTCTTGTTGGGTTAATTTCGGATGGCGGCAAGGGCCCGCCCCTGACAGAATAAATGTAGGACTGTAGAACGTGCATTACATAAATGTTGAATATAGGACATCCTTTCTAACCCCGGAATCTCGCCTAATCTCGCCCCAAAACGTGTAACGTGCAGCCCGAAACTCGGAACCTGACGTCCCAACTCCTGAACCTTCCCCGAACATTGTTTCCTATGTTCCACGGAGGATATCGACGCTGCCTTCGAAGAATGTCGCGGGGAGATGTGTATGCCAGGCCGGCGCTCCTACGAGGGCATAGACATCAAGGTGATCAAGGAGAAGCGCGCATACGCAGACTTTTTCCAGGAGGCCGACGTGTACACGCTGGATGAATATCTCATTGAGCATAATGTGCGGCCCGAATCCTTCGCTGGTGTGCGCCAGAAGGTAGCATTCATAGAGAAGGACTGGGACTCACGGGACTTACGGGACTTCAGTGTACATCTCTGCCGTTAATGCTAGTTGCCCTGACCCATGTTGGACTTGCAGGAGTTGGGCGTCAAAGTCCTCATGAACAAGGACGTGCCCGTGGTGGCTGTGGCGGGCCGCAAGAAGGTGCGCATGGGGGAGATCACTTCGATTGGTCGCCAGAAGGTGCTGGGCGCAACACGGGCTAGGGCTAAAGATTTGATTTGACTAGTGTAAGAATTCAGTACACTTCACCATTTTTTTGTCAAAGAGTGCATTTCCCAGTGTTCTTGTGTGGGCCAGGCTACGTCCTACGACTCTTTGGGCGCTGCTTCGGCCAGCTACAACGACAGGTGCCAAGGTCTGAAGAGTTTGCAGGATTCGCTGCCAAGTGTGGGAGATCTGGAACGTTCCAAAGCTGCTTGTGGCGCAAGCGGCGGCACAGGCAGCGCGCCCTCTGGCCTTAAGCGCAAGACCCTTGAGGATGACGACGACGACTTGGAAGAGGACATGAGCTTCTTCAGCATGCGAGGTGCTGGGAAGGCAGGCGTCCAGATCCAGCTGACAGAGGCGGGCAAGAGGTTGGTCCTTGAGGGTCAGGGCGGGGTCATGAAACCGGGCGGCCTCAGTACAGCGGAGGCTGAGACGGAGTCCTTGTTGGGATTCAAGCCGCATGCGCCTGGCTCTAAGGATTTTCAGGATGAGGAGGAAGAGTGCCCTGAGCCTCCAGAGAAGGACGAGGAAGGCGGTGCGCTTGAGTCGGACAGTGACGGTGATGGTGATGCGGCGGCCAGAGGGCGCGGCAAAGGGAAGGGGAGGAAGAGAGGCTCCTCTGCGCGTCAGGGGACATCACGCGAGCAGGACAAGCCCCCGAAGGATACTAAGCAGAGCAAGGCAGTGACGAAAGCTAGGTCCGTTTTCGAGGCCAAGAAGAGCGTGCTCGATTACACCTGCATGTGGCAGAAAAAGATCAAGACACGACAGTTCCAGCAGGCGGTGAAGCAGATCGAGACGGCCGCAAACAGTCTGATCGGCGTGGCCGATTCCGAGTCCTTGATGGCCGAGATGATACAGTTCGTGGAGGAGTGCAAGAAGGTGAACGATTTGTTCGATGTTATGCATGAGGACTTAGTCCTTTTCCTGGAGAGCCCCGTGGAGGCTGAGGACATGGACCGCTTTCGCAGGTTCGAGGCTGCATTGATCGCCGACATTATCACCAGCTCCGCCCAGGCCTTGCTGAGAAACATTGAGGAGGCGCCGCATGGTTTGTCAGCTAGGGAATGGGTGGCGTGCGATGTGGGTCAGCCAGTTAGCCCGTTCTAGTTGTTAGCTTTCCAGGCCTTCACTTGTGATTTGTGCTGTACTTCGTTTGTGGCTAACTTGTTAACGTAATGATATGCGTGTTGCAGAGAACCCGATAATGACTACAAGACTGTATAATTCCGTGTAATGACCAAAACCCTAAACAGTGAGACCCGAAGTGATTCACGTTGCCCAGGTGCCCCCGCACGGGGATGCGTACTTCAAGCTGCTGTCCTTGCAGAGTTCCACCAATTCCTTGAATCTAGACGTGTACAAGCAGGCCCTTTGTGAACGTGGAGTATCCGTGCCTTCCAAGCCGTGCTGTGCACTTCAGCAGAAGCTTGCAGCGATGATGTGGGACCGCCTGTTCCGCTTGAAGGACGTCTCACAAATCCGGCAAATTTTGGATTCGTTGCTCGGCCCGTTTGGCAATAGATTTTGTTACGTTTGATAGGTAAGAAGAAGCTTTGTAAAGTTTTATGTTGAGCGTGGTTTAGGATTCAGAATTTACGGTCCAGGGTTTAGGCTTAGGTTAAGTTATGATTTGGGTTTACGGGTTAAGGGCCCCGCGGGATGTGAGATTTGCGATGGATAATCTGTAGTGTAGATAGTCTCATCGCCAAGAGTCCACAGTACTTGTACTGTTCAATTATCTGTTAAATGGGTTGTTCTCATAGACATAGGCGTGATTTGGACTCTAGTTACTGCACTTGATTTACGGGCGGGGCACCAAAATGGGACCCTAATGTTGGAAACTACTCAGTGTTCCTTTGCAGGGTGTCCATCTCCAGCGTTGAGCTTGATCGCTACGATGCAAAGACGGCTGGTGTTTTTGATGCTGAAGGAGCCTACTCCTCCCTGGTTCGGCTAGAGCTCAGTGTGATCAGGGTCGCCGCAATGGATTATGGGCAGGACGGGAAATTTAGGTCGGGTGAATTCCGGTGAACGTAGCAATAGCAGGTGACAGCAAACTACACCAAGTTGCGTTCGTGGGAAGGGGAGATTGCGCCAGGACGGTACTGGTGGATCGCAAGCGGGGCGGATGGCAGCCAAATCAGCTTTGGCCGCGCGACCCCATGTTTCAGAGAAGCTGGGCAACAACTTCAAGATTGGAGTGGGCAAGAACCTTTGCTGCAAGGATTCGCAAAAGGTGGCAGCCTGCCCGTAGATCGAAGTGGTCTCTAAATCTCAAACGATTCTTTATAAATCAATATAAATTATGAATTATAAATAAATGTACAGTTAAAATTAAGCCCTAACTTCCATAAATCATCCTAAATCAAACTCCCCCTTATAGAGCCCCAGGAAGATGTGGACTGCCATGGGTGCAGCAGCCAAGCTTTGCATGTCGGCTTCCACGATGCTTGAGGACCCGCGCTGGTGCGAGACATGATGCTGTTTCTGTTTCTTCTTATGTTTCTTAAGGAGTAGCAGATTAAGCGATGGCTTTCAGATAGTCAGCCCGATCGAGGAGTCCAAGTCTTTGACTCTGCGTGCGCAACAGCCACTCACCGCGGTTGTGGATGCACTGTCCTTCTTGCGACTGCTGGGCAACACGGATGTGGTGGACGCTCTGGTGGCGGCACAGGTCTGCGCGATGAACGTGCGCACCACGCGTGAGGCTGCACAGCAGCCAGACTGCATTGCATTGTTGTCCATGGTGGACTCCTGCGCCGAGCTGGTTGGCAGGCTGATGCAGCCGGCTCTTGCGTTGCTGCAAGACGCCGTGAGTGTGGACAAGGTGGAAGTTGAGCCAGGGCCTTTGCGTGCCCTCCGCGATTTCCTTCTCGACAGCAATCCAGTTCTTGGACTTTGGAAGGTTGCTCGTGCGTACGAGGCAACGGCAGTTAAGATAAGATCGAGCTTATCTAGGGTTTAGGGTTTAGGCCGATTAGGGTTCAGGGAGGGTGTACCAGGAAGTGTATGTGAATACTTAAATACTTGCTGTTGAGTACGGAGAAAGAGGTATTCCGTAGCACCCGTAGCACTACTGCAATGGCCGGAGTTCAATGGGCTCAACGGATGGAAAAGTATTCTAGTACGGACCCGGATTCGAAAGCCGAACGCAAACATTGAATACTTGTTTTTTCCCCACCATTTTGTTGGGTGTGTACGTGTTTAATTAATACGGGTACGGATTTCGTTGGATGTTCTCAACATGTTTGTCACCACTTGGCCCCCGGCGTTGGCAATCGGCATCCTAAAAAGTATGCCGCGCAGCATGCCAGCAGGAATCAAAACCTTCCGTACCCTGAGGCGACATTATTTAGGCTTTTTTGTTTAGGCTTCGAAACGTATTCCCAAAACCAAAGGTGTATTATGGCAAGCAAAACGTACTCTGGTTGCTACGAATACGAAAAAGCATTCCGCTGCACTCACTGGTAGGGTTTATGATTTATGATTAAGATTAAGGGCAGGGAAATCATGTGCAGGGCTGATGGTTTATGTTTATGTTCTTTTTTTCTGATTGGTTTGTGTTTTGTGCGTGCACATTCAGGAGGCATCCCTGTGGGGCAACATCACGGAGAATATCGCGCAGGCTTGCGGGCTAGCAATGCGAGAGGTGGTGCAGGTTTTTCAGTCGGTGGCAGCAGCTGATTGCGGCCTGACGCACGAGACGTTCCGCAAGGCAGCCTCAAGCATTTTGAAGGCGCAGCAGAGCAAATCATGCCAGCACGTGACCCGCGCTGCTACTAGTGCCTTGCTGAAATGGTGCAGATTTTGTGTAGTGTAATTCCAGCTTATGTTTCAGAATCCGCTCTGGTGTGTGGGTGTTTGTTGTTCGTGTGGGGGGCATTCGGCTGTGGGTGTAGGCTTGTGACCAATATTTTGACCCCAAATATAGAGACGCGCCGGGTGCTCATGGGTTTTTGGCCTTCATCTATGACTCTATGACATCATCAGGTGCTGATGGTGAGGGGCTTGCGGAGAACAAGCCGCCCGTCCTATTGGCATGGTCCACGGCAATGGGCAAGGCTGCTCACGAGTACTCAGACAAGCCCGTGCAGTGGTTCCTTTCTATGGTTTCTGGCGGGAAGCACGTGGAGTTGTTGGCCTTGCCAGCGTCTGACAAGGCCCTCCTAGGCTACGGTGTGGAGCGGCTTATGCGTGGACTGGCGGTGGTGGAGGACAGCCGAGCCCCAGACGGACAGAAGAAGCCCATTTTCAGTCAGGAGGCTTGGGACACGAAGGCGCTGGTGCGTGAGGCCGCGGTCGCCATGGCGGACCTCGACGCTTTTGCCAAAGAAGTTCCGAATGCGGACATTCCTGGCTTGAAGGAGGCTGCCAGCATGCTGCTGGAAAAGGGGAAGACTTCTGCAATGAGGTTGGCGGTGGCACTGCGGGAAGGCAAGGCCTCTTTGATCGACGTGTACACGGAATCCGTAGCGACAATAGCCATTGTTCGAGACTTGGACGCCACGGCCCCCTATCCAGACAGTGTCGTAGCCGTGATCGCGAAGCACAACCAGCAGAACTCACTGCTGCAGCAGTTCACTGCAGGAGTGGGACATCCATGTAGACTTTAGCCTCCATGTTTCAGATGTCTATGGGAATCAGGGTTTCGGGTTCGGTTTAGGGTCTAGGACTTGGGGTTTGGGGTCTAGCGTTCAGGGTTTAGGGCTTAGGGATGTTTAGGGTTCAGGGTCTAGGGCCCGAGGTTTTAGGGTTTAGGCTTAGGTTAATCTAGGATTTACGGCTTCGAGTCTCAAATTTAGATTTAGGGTCTTGGATTTACGATTTATGGTTCAGAAATTACGGCCAAGAGGCTAACTAAGGGGAGCCATTGATAATTGATCGCCCATGATTTTAAGAAAGTAGCTCTCTGACAAGTTCTGTGTAATACGTCGGTACCTAGCCTGAGACTTCCATCCGCGTGCGAATCCGGGAATTGGAGGCGCTTTGGAATTGAAGAAGACCGTCGACCTGGTCAACTCCTTCACATCCTGGCGTCAAGACTTCCCTGAGGGCATGAGCACTCACTTGGCCGCCCTGGACGAGGAGATGGCCAAAGAACCTTCACCAACGCAAGCCTTGGTGGAGACGTACCACGTGATGGCCATTGAGATCTTTCACCGCGCCCTGACGACACAGAAGCCGTGGACGGATGAGTTTGCAGAGGGTTTGTTGAAGGACGTGACAGGCTTGATCAAATTTGTGACCGGCCATCTTCAACTCACGAAGAAGATTGTCGCGGGCGTCATTACCGAGCGCTTGGATTTGCTTCAGAAGGACTGATGAGTTGGCTGCTTAACCGCCTAACCCGGTTAACCCTAAACCTTACACCCTAAACCCAATTTCGCGACAGTTTATTCGTTGTTGTAGTTGTTGTTGTTGCTGCTGCTACTGCTGCGTGCGCAGGAGCTGAAGCCTGCTGCTGACCAGTCGAAGAGTGCCAAGGAGAAGAAGGCTCCGAAGAAGAGCGCTAGAAAGTAGAGTAGCAGTAGGAGAGCGGAAATCTGGGTCAGCCTGGCTTGCTTCCGGCGCCATCTTGGGTAGGCTGTAAGCTGTGCAACTCAGTTAGCCTAACAGCCTAAGTAGCACGGCTTAGCAGGTTAGCTACGTCATGCTACGTCTGTGGCTGCTTTTGCGAGCCGAGAGCAGGGGCGGACTTGGATGCTGGAAAAGTTGTTGCAGTCGACAGTGTTGACAGGCAACTTATAAATCAGCTCGGGACTGTGTGCGGAGTCACGCAGTCAACAAACAGGTCCATGCCGAATCTCCAGTTTGTACAGTGCAAGTGTGAAGGTGAGAGAAAAGTGCAGATTTCAACACGCAGCAGGGATTTTGCAAGAGCTCCATCTCTCTCTGGTTCTCTCTCTCTCTCTCTCTCTCTCTCTCTCTCTCTGTGCGCAACACAGTGTAGCTGAGGTATGACCCGCAAGGGCGTGGATTCAGGATCCGCCAGGAGTTTGACAGAATCAGACGAGAGTTGGGGTTCGCAGATGAGAAGTTCTACAAAATATACCGCCAGTGACAGGTCAGCAACCTTTTTTCTGCTTAGTTGTCACTTAAGACTTAAAATTTTCAAGCTTCAAACCTTAAAAATACCGTAGAAACTTTGCATCGCTTTGGCTACCAAGTGGCTCGTGCCTGCAAAACCTAGAGTCCTCTAGGGTCTCCCGTGTACGGTTTATAGGGTGGCGAATCCTAAACCCTAAACCCAAGACCCTAGACCTTAAAACTCAAAACCCAGCCAAGGTATTCCATGTATTGTCGGGACGTTTTCGGGCCAGAGTGGGCAGCGGGGCTGAATGCTCGAGAAGTGGAGCAACTGGATATCTTGTACCACAGGCTCTGTACCCTGAAGGACTCGCTTAGGTTGCCAAACTTATTTTGCCCTCTTTCGAGCCAGAGTCTAGACGCCTATTATCCCCCTACTTATACTTTAATAACCCCTTCAAGGCGTTTAGCTCGTTTGTTGCCCGGAGAGGTTACCCTAAGCTGCCGTCTAAAAGCTCCCTTGAGAACCCCGCATCGACAGCTGGCATGAGCGGAGATATCTCAGAGATGAGCGTGGACATCTGCAAGACATTGCAGAGAAAAACCTGCCGTCTGGGAGGCATGCCTACGTGTCTCGGACTATGCAATGATAATGAATGATAGTTTGTATTTGCACGGGCTGTTGGCTGTGGGCAGCGTCCCGCGCAAGGTTAACTACGAACTCGAAAGTGTACTTTTTTGGAATCCACTCGATCCTGGATCCGCCCCACTTGCTGGCCGGGCAGCGCGCCCAGAATCCGACTCTCAAAATAGATCATGACGAAAATGATCAAAATAGTAGAGTCAGTAGATACTCCCATTTGTTGAAGTCGTGTCGGTCCCAATTCCCACAAACCCTAAGTTGACCCTGACCCTAAGCGCTACAGAGAAGAGCATGGCCCCTGCGCAAGGATGACACAAATCCAGAAATTCCCAAAGCCCTAATCCTTTCCCCTGCAGCACTGAGGTGGGTGCTGTGGGGGCCCGCCGCGCCCCCTCCCTGCAGCTCCCTCAGGTGGGGGCTGCAGGGCCCGCCTCCCGGCACCTCCCTAAGCCCCTAAACCCTAAGCCCTGAAATACAGAGAAGGGCATGGCCCCTGCGCAAGGATGACACGCACAAATCCAGAAGTTCCCATAAACCCCCCCATAAGATCACGCACCCGTAATCTTGACCCAGCCCGCAAAGTCTGAGGCAAGGGTTCGACGTGGGCAAGCTGTCGTTCGGGAGCCGCTTCAAAAGGTGCCTGTATGCGCGCCTGGCTGGAAACGCCATGAGTGCCCCCGTGCTGGGGGCCGTGATTTTATCCGCTTCTGGGCCGCGCTTGAGAGCCAAACTGAGTTAAAGCCAAAGGGTTTCAATCAGTAGCCTGCTATGCCCATCATGTGAGGTGATAATGACAACCAGCCTCCGGAGCAACTTTGCATACCCGCTTTTGCACCTTCGAAGTGCGCTTCTGGTGTCACCTGAGCCTCCGGTGGCTTCTGACTCCGAAAGCGAGTCAGAGGACATTGAGTGAGTTCTGCCAACGGCGCCCCGCAAAAAAATGCGCTTTCAGAAGCTTTTGGGTTGCTCAGAAAATCCGCTTTGAGAAGCTTTTGGGTTGCTCAGCTGAAGTACGCAAGAAGCAGCAATTTTTGGCACCGGCCCGCGACACCCAAAGTGCCTCCTCTTGACCCAGCCGTCTGCGCGCCAAAATGGGTCAGTCTTAAGCATTCCAGGGGCTTACCAAGTAATAAGAGTAATACCAATAGTCTATAGTAGTAATTGTAGAAACGCTATTGATAGTGGTAATAATAGTAATACTATTAGTAATGATGCTGGCTTCGACGTGCGGCTTGCCTTCTTTGGCTGTCCTGGTAGGAAAAACCCGGTTTCAGCCACCAGGCCCTCGAATCAGCCACCAGAAGGCCCGAATCAGCCACCAGGGAGGCCGAATCAGCCACCAGGGAGCCGGAATGCGCCACCACGCCACGCGAGTCCAAAAGCGACAACAGTTCTGCGTTTCGCGACCAGGACCTCCACGATCCCTGTGACTGTTGACACTTTTGAGACGCGAAGACGCCACGCGAGTCCAAAAGTGACGACAGTTCCGCGTTTCGCGACCAAGACCTCCCCGATCCCTGACACTGTTGACACTTTTGAGACGCGAAGATGCCATGCGAGTCCAAAAGCGACGACAGTCCTGCGTTTCGCGACCAGGACCTCCCAGATCCCTGATAAGACTGTTAACACTTGGGACGCGAAGACGCCATGCAAGTCCA